TTGTGACTTACATCGTGATGTAGTTGTGACTTACAACGTGATGTAGTTGTGACTTACATCGTGATGTAGTTGTGACTTACAACGTGATGTAGTTGTGACTTACAACGTGATGTAGTTGTGACTTACATCGTGATGTAGTTGTGACTTACAACGTGATGTAGTTGTGACTTACATCGTGATGTAGTTGTGACTTACAACGTGATGTAGTTGTGACTTACAACGTGATGTAGTTGTGACTTACAACGTGATGTAGTTGTGACTTACATTGTGATGTAGTTGTGACTTACAACGTGATGTAGTTGTGACTTACATCGTGATGTAGTTGTGACTTACATCGTGATGTAGTTGTGACTTACATCGTGATGTAGTTGTGACTTACAACGTGATGTAGTTGTGACTTACATCGTGATGTAGTTGTGACTTACAACGTGATGTAGTTGTGACTTACAACGTGATGTAGTTGTGACTTACATCGTGATGTAGTTGTGACTTACAACGTGATGTAGTTGTGACTTACATCGTGATGTAGTTGTGACTTACATCGTGATGTAGTTGTGACTTACATCGTGATGTAGTTGTGACTTACAACGTGATGTAGTTGTGACTTACATCGTGATGTAGTTGTGACTTACATCGTGATGTAGTTGTGACTTACAACGTGATGTAGTTGTGACTTACAACGTGATGTAGTTGTGACTTACATCGTGATGTAGTTGTGACTTACATCGTGATGTAGTTGTGACTTACAACGTGATGTAGTTGTGACTTACATCGTGATGTAGTTGTGACTTACATCGTGATGTAGTTGTGACTTACATCGTGATGTAGTTGTGACTTACATCGTGATGTAGTTGTGACTTACATCGTGATGTAGTTGTGACTTACATCGTGATGTAGTTGTGACTTACATCGTGATGTAGTTGTGACTTACATCGTGATGTAGTTGTGACTTGACGCAGTGACGTAGCGAGGTCGGGTGTCAGTCTGTTGAGGTTTCTAGGGTTTGAGGTCAGTCTGTTGTGGTGTCTAGAGCACGGGTTCCCAACCTGGGGGTCGCGACCCCCAAGGGGGTCGCGAAGGTCTTTCTGGGGGGTCTCCAACTAGTATACTAAACCTTAGAAATTTGAAACATAACATAAATATTTAGAAGAATTATTGAAATTCGGCTTCATTAACATCATTGGAAATGTAATAGAGAAGAAACAAAGCGCACTGTACAAAGTTGTTCTCAGTCACGAATCTATGAAATCTTCAAAACTAAAACGTCATTTGAGACGAGTCATTCGGAACACACCAAAAAATATATGGAGTTCTTTTGTCAGTGAGAAGCTAGTTGCAAACGCCAGAGACTTGATCGAACATGAAGTTTTCACCAGCATTAGTGCAAGCATCAAATGAAGTCGCGATAGAAATTGCCAAGCAAAAAAAAAAAAAAAAAAAAAAAAAAACAGGAGGAGAAAATCTCATCAAACGCTGCCTGTACGTAAATGTTAAATAACACATTTTTATTGAAATTAAGCTTTCACCATTGTTTGCTTTTCAAGTTGATAAATCAACAGACTTGAGTTCGAGTTCGCAGTTGCTGGTCTGTGTCTATATTCATGCGAATGATAGCAAGAAGAGTTGCTCTTTTGTGAAGATAGCATGGAGAAAATAAATACCTTTTTTGAAACTGGATGATTAAAATGGGTTAGAACGGCTATTGGGGTTTGTACGGATGGTGCGCCATCTATATTTAGCTCAAAATCGGGCTTTCAGAAAACATAAAAGATTTAGCTCCCTAACCACTGCCCTAACCAATCGACATCAAGAGTCCATTGCTAGTATAAGTCGTAAATTATATAAAATCTGGAGCCTTTAAAGAACTGAGCAAAAGCATTAATATAGATCACGAGGTTCTGCTCTTCTACACTACAGTACGTGGCTGTCAAACGAAATGTTGTAAATTGTGTTTTTGAGTTGAAATCTGAAATCAAATTGTTCTTGGAAGTGCAAAGGAAACAAGACTTTTTGGTATACATAGAGTGGTTGGAGAGAGTATCATACCTAGCAGATGTGTTCGAACATCAAGATAAGCTTAACCTGAAGCTTCAGGGAAAATGAACGAATATTATAACTTTCCATGATAATCTCGGGGCATTTTTATCAAAGCTGCAAAATCGGTAAAGAAAATAAATCTTGGAAATATTGTAAATTTGAGAAACTCTGCGGTGTGGTAGATGAATCTGATTGTGAGATAATTAAAATTTTGAAAGAAGCGATTTCTGGGCATCTTGAATCTCTTGAAAACGAACTGCATCGCTATTTCTCTGAGCTGAAAAAAGAAAAATGTGCATTTACGCATTACCCATTCTCTTCTTCCCTTGATGTTGCCAGCATTCCCGATGAATTACAAGATGAATTCTCAAAATTGATTGACTTTTCGAAAATATATTCTCAACACTATTCTTCGATTAAAAACAAAATTAAGATAATTATAATGACATAGGTTGGCGTTAACAAAAATTTTTTTAAAATTAAAAACTTAACCACGAAGGTTTAGTGAATAGTATGCACTTTTGCTCATGCTATTAGAACAGTTATTAAGAGTAGTTCATATTGAAAGTCTACTAGAAAATCTTATTTTAGTGCTTATTAATCTCCATACTAATATCGGCTTTTTAATTCTATGGGGGTCGCGGGTCACTAACTTTTTATAAAAGGGGGGTCGCCACTCGAAAAAGGTTGGGAACCACTGGTCTAGAGTTTAAGGTCAGTCTGTTGTGGTGCCAGAACTGTAATTGGCACTGACAAGATTGGGAGTGGTTTTGTAAGTTCCAGTTAGAGGTAGAAATTACACAAGGAAAAGGTATTCCACGCCATACATTTTTCAACACTACTTTTCCAGCTTTGGGTAAAGAGCTTTATCAGTGACAAACTCAAAACAGCCTATGTTGTAATAAAAAAAAACCAATGATTATTTCAAATGTTTATTGGATTGACCTCACCGGAAGCCATATCAAAACAACCACCATCTACAAATACAACATTGGACTCAGCACTAGCTACAACAATGGACTTATCACTAGCTAAACACATTGTTGGGTTTGTTCCCATGGGTCAATTCATAAATTATATATATATATATATATATATATATATATATATATATATTACATACACACATCAAATAAAAAAAATAAGCCACTGGTGTCTATAATGTAAAAAACTGAGATCTACAAACTAATATAGGTTCAAATGTGTATATAGATCTTAGTACAAAAAATTGACAAACAATTCTATTGATTAACTGCTCATTGTTTGTTCTATATAAAGAGATTCCATTGAGCTTGTGTTGTTACAGGATATGAATAGATTTGTCATGTAACTTTTGGTTTTAAACAACACTACAACTTGGGACATTTGAAACTGACAAAGTCATCACAACGTGGGGACAATATACATAACATTGATGATCTTACTCTGAATACACACATGTAATTGAGTTCTTTATCTCTTGAACTACACACATTTGATTGTAAAGTATTGATTAACAATGGTGTTTAATTACTCTGGTCATTAAACTTAGGCTATAAATATATAATAAAATGATTTTAACAAAGTGCCCTTAAACACGATTGACTGGAATGTCACCATTTCATAAGACATGTATCACTAGCTAATTACATCTTCTCATGATGGACAACAGTTAAATGTGAAAATGTGATCCACCCCTAACATGATATCAACAGCATGAGTGAGACCACAACACAGCTATACATTTCTATTCAATACAAGTGTCAATAATCTAAATACAATACATGTAGACAAAAAATCCAAAGCCACTTCTTGCAACAATCTATCAAATATGAGATCTGCTCACAGTTCTTGAACTAATGTTTAAAAATAAATTGCTATAAATATGTTTTGGTCATGACAAAATTACTATGTAATTTTAGAATAATCAGATGTGTAAGGTATGCCATCTAGTAAAATAACTAGATACTATTTCTTACATTTTGTATACAATGATGAGTGTAAAAATTGATTAGAAAAATATATAGTACATTACTGAGAAGCAATCAGTCTTCTCATATAATACCATCTATTGCTTGATAATGAAATCAGTAAAAACACTACTTGTTCCATTTATACATGGCAGCAAGAAAAGGTTGATCTCAACCCAAGTATAGTCATAATTGTAAATGGCAGTCAATAAATGCTCACCACAAGCTCTAGTTAAATAACAGAAGATATATCATATAAATAAAGGCAGCAAACAGCCCATTCTTCTAAACTTAAGACAATTTTATAATTCAGCGACAAGAATGTTGATCAATTGAAAACACCAGTAGAATAACCTGGTATCAGCTACACTAGCTACAACTTGGACAGTGAAAGACAACTCATGTATTTCTAAAACTCCTATATTGGTAACCTTGATTTATCAAAAATAGTATTGGAAAAAAGAAAAATAACAAAAACTTTTTAAAAAATATAATAAAATAAATAGAGTTTTATAAGGTAGCATTTCACACAAACATTCAGAAACTCTTCAGCAAGAAACCTATCCACAGTTTTAGCATGTAAAATGATAACATTTACCCTTCATAATGTAGTTTATTCAAAGGTTAATTTATTAAACAAAAATAAACAAGATTTTACTGCTTACCATTCTAAATGGCTACTAATAAAGTCATGGTGATCACTAGCACTATTGAGATTCAGTTTTATTATTCAGAAATTATATATTCATTTAAAGCAGTACAAATAAATTGTAGAGCAAAAATAGAAATTGACCGCCTAAGAAATAAATATTTTCTCAAGCAATAATGTGTTTCCTGATTTCTAAAATATTTAAAGGACATTTTCAATAACTGAAACACTAAATGGTTGTAACTGTAACCAAATTAGAGTTGTCCTTTAGTCTCATTTTGTTCATCTAACAACCACCGCCTCAGAAAGTGTTCAACTTAAATCAATCTAGTTTTTCATATAAAAAACAAAGACTGGCAGGAAGTTTCATCTCTGATATATATAAACAAAGATCTATTGATGGAAAAAAAAGTTCACAACAAAAATAAACTTTTTGATTTTTTTTAAAAGTTAATTTCATATAGAAAATATACATTTTAAAAGAAGAGGCCCAGTACCGTAGTATAAATCATCCTTATAGCTACTACCATAGTTTAGGAACTATAAAATGGCAAAGAAGATTGAGTTGCTTTTAAATCAATAGTAAATAACATCAAGTGCACACACAATGCTTCTCTAACATATATCACAAGAATTGCATTTCTTTTAAAAATATCTCGTAGGCAAAATCATTAATGTAAACAGACCATGTTTCATCAAATCATAAGTTTCACATATTACAAAAACTAGAACTACAACAAATGCCATTTCCTGCAGCAACAAGCATATGTAATATATTTGAAATAAATAATAAATAAAATAGTCTAAAGGGATACCTTTGTTTGGGGATACATAGTTTTTAAAATGACTTCAAAATTCTTAGTTATATTCAGTTTTTTTTCTATCTAAATGGTAGTTAAGACAAATTATTCCTTACTGTCAATTAATGATACATTAATTATGTTACTATAATAAATTGTATAATTATATAAAAATGGAATGGACCTTCACTAGCATGGATAATAAATATGATTATCTGGAATTTTCAATCTATCAACATGAACAAATATTGCTGAATGTACCACAGGAGGTTCTATTGTTTACAGTATACAAAAGTATTGTTCAAATTGTGCTTTTGTCATTGCTCTTCTGTAAATAGATTCTGTTAATGCCACAGACAGCAACAACAATAAAATTACCAGAGTTAATAAAAAAATGTATATGTATAAAGAGATAGTTAAAAATAATGGACATGAGATACTTTTAATTTTTTTCCTGAATATTCAACAAGGTAACACTGATTATAAAAAAACCATCACAATTTACTGCTGTATAAAAAAAATACTACGGCATATTTCTTAATGTTCAAAAGCTTTATCACCAAAAAATGTTTTGTGCATGTTTATGTACATTCAACTAATCCAATAATATTACAAATCACAGATTCAGTTTTTGCAACATAAAGTCTGTAATAATCATTAAACAAAAATGTAATTAGATTTTCTTTAGTTTGTGTTTAAAAAAGAACAATCGTATTGTAAACAAAATAATGACTATTGAGTTAATGCAAAATATAACCAACAAGTAACCAAGACTGTTGCCAAACTTTTCAAAGTCCCATTTTGTCTGAACATATTCTTTACGTCCCTGATAGTCTAGCAGCACAGCATGTAGTTGGTCCATCACTGCTAATATAGATGAGACATGGAATAACTGGTGGGAATGGCCAATGATGTCAAAAATTCCAGGTACTAGTCGTTCAGGTAGATGAGAAGCATAAAGAAATGCTGCTAAAAATGCAAACATAAACTGCCTGGTGTGAAGGTAGTGGGCAGAGAGATGTAGCTCACTAACATTATTGAAAACAATGCGGTAAATTAATGGAAAACTGTCATATACATAAGGAACTGCAAAAGCTCCTAAACGAAGAGCTTTCCTTAAAGGACTTGGTTTCATAAAGCGCGTCTGACATGAAACTATTGTGCAGATGACTGCATTAACAGCTGCTATTTCAACATAATTATCACTGTACCATTTAGCATTGTCCAGGAGGTTTACTGGAAAACAGTAGGCTCTATACATAACAGCAACACCAAAGCTAAAGAGACTTAGAGCAGAATAGTCCAGAAAAAAACACACATGCCTAGCACAGTCAGACATAACATTGAAGAGATGAGCTACAGCACTGGCTAATGGGAAGGCACAGCAGACTAATAGGTAGGATAGAAGTGGCCAACTATAGCAATCATTCAAAAAGTCAATGCTCCATCCAAGGTGTAATGTCACATACACAAAGTACCTGAAAAAGGTAAATAGATAGTGTAAATTATCAAAAACAATATTGAATTCAATCCAGAAAAAATTAGAGAGTGATTCAAGTATAAGATCTTACACTTATTTTTGTCTACTTAACTAAATTCAAGTTATCGTGTTCCCCAGGAAATAGAGCAACGTACCATATCTGGTTAGTGGAAATCATACAAAAGTTGAAATAAACCTTTGCCAACAATCTAATATTTTCATCTTAAATTTTGTATACCTGGCTTTAATTTTTTCAAGTTATCAGCTTTTAACTTATTTTAAGAGACTTTTAAGAGACGTGTAAGTAGAGTATGTACAGTTACAAGTTATTGCTCAAAAATTGATAGAAAACTACAAAGTTGATCAAATAATTATATTTGGTCTGGGCCAACATAACTGAAATGGTACTCAATTCATCACATCCGGAGCATTGAGGGCTTATTTTAATCGGGCAAAAATTATTAATCCACATGTATCAAAATTTTGGCATGTTATGTGTAATCGATTCTGAAAAACTGGGCTTTGCAATTTTGTCTGTATGTCTGTGTGTGTGTATGTGTGTCTGTAAACACAATAACTTGAGTACCGTTACAGCTATGTTGAAAAAATTTCATATATAAGTATTATATCAAATTTGTAGTTCTGTATCAACTTTTCAGTGATTTCCAATAACCGGAAGTGGAACTTATTCTACTTTCAATTTTTCAAAACCCTATAACTTGAGTACTGTTTCACAGATAGATAAAAGAAATTTCACATATAAGTAAAATATCTAATTCTCTGCCTTCTGTCAAATTTTGAGTAATTTCCGTTGACCGGGTGTAGTAATTTACGCTATTTCCGATTTCTAAAAAAAGGCATATTAATTTATAAAGTACTAATAATATTCCACACTATTATACACATTGTTTTTCGTTCACTTGGTGTGCAATTTTTTTCCTATGGGATTTTATGCCATTATAAAAAGTTTAAGTAATTAAAAATGGATTAAAAATCATGTCTATATCCCGAGTTGCCATTCCCTGTTGTTTTATATAAGAATATTCGAGATCACTCCCGGTTTATTTTCAGAGAATTCCATGAAAATTCTGGTTTATTTTCAGAGAATTCCATGAAAATTCTATCTTTTTTTACATAAAATTTCCTACAGGCAAAATAAAAACAACATATTCTGACAAACACTGGAAACTACATACATCTTTTTGTAAATGGTCAACTTTCCTTAACTCTTTAAGACAGTAACGATGCTCCCAGCGGTCGGTCCGCCGGCCTGCCACACCGTAACGACGCTCCGAGTGGTCGATAAAATTTTCTCTATTTAATTCGTTGTTTTTCAGAATCCAAGTTTTTAATCGTAAATTTTGGTCATGATAACGCTAGAGTAACCATTTTTCGATGTATTTGCTTCTTGTAGTTTTCTCATTAGGTTGATTTTGTAATTTATAGAATTTTTTTGTAAAACAACTTGCAAAACGACATTTTATTAACACTGCGGAATGCTGTTCAGCGGCCACGATTAAACATTTACGTCGCCACATTATAAAACTAAAAACCAAAATTAATGTATTTAAACTAAGACTAATCCGATCCATGATTTTTGTAGAAAAATTTATTTACTTTCGTTTTCTATGAATAAGAAATAAGATATGGGCCGTTTAGCCGCAGGGGTACTCATAAAAAATGAGTGGAAAAAAAAATTCCGGTAAAACCTGAAAATAATTACGGGCTTAAAGAGTTAAAACATAGGTTTTGCTGGTCTATAATATTATTCAGGCCATTTACAATAATCCACTGACACTTACCATGTAGGTAGAAAATGTGTCCATATATTTAATGTTTCGTTTGTAGGATCAAACAGACTGAGTAGGCACTGAGTAACAGAGCTCTTTGGGTGGCGATAGCCTCGAAGAATATAGTGCTCATGAAAATGCTCAGGGACCTGCACAAGAAATTTTTTTTATTAAAGTAAATTTATAATGTAGGCCCCTATATGGATAATATTCATACATTGATTGTCATTATGTTCAACAAACCTGATGTACATGATATATTGGACCACTGAGGCCTTGACCTGTGGATACTGACATTCCAAGCATTGCAAAGTTCTGATGTAAGCAGGGAAGCACTTGGTACAGTGGAGTAGATTACAGAACAAGGTTTTACTCTCACTATCTGCCCAATCATCACAGGCTAGAAAAAAAAAAGAAACAATTAGCAATGGGAAACTTTGTCCAATGATATATTAATTAACTATGCAAAGAGACCTAAAAGTTATTTTAAAACACAAAAATATTTCATAGTTATAGTTTCAGGTAATTTTTGTTGAGTTTCGGTAATTAAACTTACGGTAAACCATAGTTTATTTGACCATTGAAATATAAATAAAGTGAAAGTCGATTATAGTAAATTAATGTTGTAATTTTTAAAGTTTAATCGACAAAAGGAAACAGGAATAAATATAATAGTAAATTTAAATTAGTAGATCTAAACATTAAAAAAATATATAAATAATAGTCACATGTAATAATTTAATGTTTTTGACTTAGAGCGGATTTGCGACCATTAATTAATTAGATCTAGCTAGCCGCTAGGCAAAATAAAAAAAAATCTAGATTACGAAAATAGAAAAATGATTACAAAAATGTGAAAATGATAACAAAAATAGTAACAGTGACTAGAATAGAAACAGGGTTCTTAATATATTTTGAAAATGAGACCATTGTAACCACACCATAATTTGTGCTTATAACTGAGAAACTTTTGTCTGCTATTAAAAACTACTGGTATTCCCCCCCCCCCCCCACCCAACAAGAGACGGTGGATAGGTCACTGAGTTCACAGTAGCCCAGTCTAATACGTCATATCATGAACAGTACCATAACTTTTATTACCCTCCCCCAGCCAAACATCACTAACTACGTACTTGGGGTCACGGTGAGTTCATACAAGTTTAGATATCAGTGACCTTAGTTACTAGGAAGGGTGGGTTAGCCTAGCCCTAATCATTTTCTTTGCAAAGATTTCAAAAACAGTTTGGAGAGATTTCTAAGCTTTGTATGGCCGATAATTCTTTCATTAAATAACAATTTTAAATACTTGTAACACATTTACACTGTCAGTCACGCAACAACAACAAAAAAAAGACGGTCTAACACTCCCCCCCCCCAATGACGTAGTAACTGAGAAATCGGGTTTCTTCTATGATACCCAGCGAAAAACGTCATACCACAGTGTAGACCTGTCCAGACTTTTTAAAGTCTGAAATTCACTTTTCTAAATTCAAGACTTTTTCCAGACTGCCATTATGAACCCTGTTAAACAATGTTTAGTAGCAGAAATATTTAGCTGAAACACTTAAAAATAACTAGTTATACAAAATGATTAATAAAGCAGTAGCCCTATATAAAGCACAATTAAAATAAATCTAGCCAAATTTTAAACATTCTGTATTAAAAATAAAAGATGACGCCAAATAAAGTATGGTTTACAGTACTTCTGGTGGATTCCGGAACTGTGTGACAGACTTTGCCATCTTTTTACTGTTTTTTTAAAATGCTATACCATTCCGGAATAATAAGCGACGCTAAACTAAGGTTTTACCTAGTTTCATTTGTGTTTGGAGTTTTGTACATTAATTCAGCTGTAGCGTACAAATTAAAATGATCTAGCTTTCTATTATGATTGATATAGACTATAGACCTAAATAAAAAAATAATAATAACAAAAATATAGGTCCCTTAAACAAACTGCTTGTATTTCTGGCAACTATCTCTATACTATAGTGTTCAACACATCTACGGAAACAAAACTGGGATATATGAGATGATGATTTTGAACAAGAAAAATGTTCAATGATCAACACATTTCAGGTGCTTTTAAAATTGGAACATCATTTTACTTAGAGTTAGACTGCAAGATAATATATCAATAAGCTCGTAATACTAATGTGGGGGAGCGGTAACTAAGATGGAAAACAGATCCAATTCTCAAAACCTCTACTTTTAGGGTCAATTTTCAAAGTTACATTTAGGCCTAATAAATTAATACAAGACTAGTCTAGCCTCTAGATCAAGAATCTAGATGTCTAAGTCCTAAGCCGATCAAATGATAAATTATATTTATCATAATATAGGCCTAATAGATCTAGAATCTAGTTACTAGATTTCTAGTAACTAGTAGATTAGACAACTAGTCTAAAACTAGATCTACATCTAAATCTAGGTCTAGAGTTTTCGAGTCTAGAAAATTCAAATTATTGTCATTAGGGCCTATTGACTAGTGAATAGTGTAGTAGAAGCTAAGTCGGCACATCGGTCAATGAACAATAATTAAGGTAATCTATCGTTTTAGGTACATAAAATCGCCCGCGGCTAGTAATGTACGAAAAAGTTACCTCATTTCAAGGCTTTATGGAAGTAGGCCTATATATTCATTGTGATACATTTGTGTCAAATATTATAGATAGGGGCCTAATTGAATAATAAACCTAAATCATTAGCTAAATATATCAATTTAGGCAAGAAATTAACTTTAAACAGCTGTGTTTGCAAGCAGGATTTGCTATATAAAAAGCGGCTATCTGTAAGTTAGAGTGGCTTCCCCTGAATCTTGCGCTATAAGTTTACAATAAAAAAAAAATAAACAAGATGGCTGCTGTAGTAAATGAGCAATGTTGCATCTGTTGGAAACAACACTAGTTTTCATTTATTACTGAAAAGTTTCAATTCAATTGTTTAAAAACAGGCCTAAATCCTCCTAAAAACGTGAAATAATTATTAAAATTTAAGGAGTCACCTGTTTTTCACATTACTACATTACTAGTCGCGGGCGATTTTACGTACCCAAAACGATAGATTAACAGATTTCTAGATCTAGATAATCTAGAAATAAATCTACTCATCAATGATTCAATAATTCAATATCAATAAATCTGAAATCATGAAAAATCTTCATAATTTAAATTTACCTTACGCTTACGGCTACGGTAAATTTTACCGAAAGTAGATCGAGATAGATTAATTATAATAGATATAGATCTAGTCTAGATCTAATTGTAATTAGTGGTCAATACACAATGGGTGTCCATAGCTTTTACTTTTAACAAACCGTGTTCACTGTGTTCAGTTCATGTACCAACTCAGTCCATCAAAACAAATCATGATTGTCAGCATCCTAGATCTAGATCTAGATCTAGAATCTAGTCCGACGGTTGCCAGATTTTCTGCAAAGAAATGAGAAAACAAAACAAAAAACCCTAAAATTTGTTATTTGGGGTCTAGCACACTTTACATTATTGTATTACACACGTATTATGAGCTTCCGACCACCAGTATATAGATCTAGATCTAGGGCAAAATATTAATAACACTGTCACTGACAATGTCAAAACCTTAGCCTTAGGCCTAGAATCTATGTTATAGAATCTATATAACAATACAGTGAATACAATAATATATAATTTTGGAATCCCCGCTTCCCCCATTTCTCTCCCCTTACTCTTACCTTTGCCTAAATTTAGGACACAATTTAACAGGTCCCAAAAAAAATAACATGTGTATGTATGTATATCGTTTTTATTTCAAATGAGGCTACACTATAAGCCCATCTCTTTAAAAAGAAAATGATCTTACCTCCCCATCCCCATCTATCCGTGCTTTGTGAAATTGTAGTTGCTAAGGAACTGGCTCATGTGGCAACTGCAACATGGACTGGTCGCGCACTTGTTGTAAGGCCATAGAATCATAGAATAATATAAGGCAGAAAATCATGTTAATTATGCTTTAAAGTGCAAAATATTAATATGTTCCTTATGAGGAACGGGCGTTCCCTATTTGGCACAAATGTAAAAAAAAAATGTGTTCGCTATTGGGAAATATAGACACATGCAAAAAGTGAAAAATTAAAATCTAAAATGCGAATGAATACAAGGATAAATAGCCTAAATAATAGTTAGTTGCACGCAATTTTTCAATTGATAAAAATGACAAAAATAACGACAGGGTTGTATTAATGGGACTAAATGTTGCAAAATGATACCAAATTTATGTTTATAGGATAAACGGTTCTCTAGATATGACGGTTTTAGTGTAAAAATTGCGGGGACAACTAAGCCTATGGAGAATGAAACTAAAAGTTGGTCACGTCGAGAGTACGAAAAAAGCGAATGGGAAAATCTTCTAATAAAAGGCATAATTATAATTTCTCAAAATTATTACATTATCGCAGTTTAACTTTGCGCGCGTCTAGTCTAGAGCGAAGAGAGTACGTAAGACTAAAGTCAGAGACTAAATTGTAATAAAATGTTTTTAAACAATCTTGTTTATTAGCTTTAAATATATTTACGCTTAAGGAAATACCAAAGATAGATAAAAATGTCGATGAAAGCTTAATAATTAAAAAAAAAGCCTAAAATAAAATAGGTTTACCGTTTAACAGTAAATGTAAAATTTACAGTAAATAGCTACTAACTACTAGACTCTACCCTAGAACTAGACTCAATCCCCATCATATGTCTAAAAAGTGTAAACTCTAAAGTTTATCTAGATCTAGATTTAAATGAAATTCCCGATTATTGATTTTTTACGGAGACCTGCATGGTGCATTAAAATTAAATTAATTTAAAACAACAAAGATCTAGATCTAGAATCTAGCTCTACTCCAGAATTCAACCCTGATTATTCATGATCTACGATGAGCCATGGCCTTACGCGAAATCTATTACGGGTTGGTGGAATGCAACGAGCATCGATGTTTTAAGGGCGTGATCTAGATCTAGATTCTAGATCTATTGAGAGACATTTTAAAAAAATATGCTTCCTGACAAAACTTGATTAATTAAAAGTAGGCCTAAACAAGTAAACATGGATATGGTTTAAATCATGGCACAATAAAGAGTAGTTTAAAAATGTTAAGAAACAGAGCAAGTTACAGTATTTATTATAACATACATGGAAACTTATGCCCATGGAAACTTATGCCTACATTAAAAAATAGAATAAAACAAATTCATAAACAGAGTGTGTCTGTTTATTTTATTAATTATAGATCTATAGGAAAGTCTCAAAGTTTACAAGCTTTTAATTTTAAGAGTCATGTGTGAATAGAAGCAACAATCTGGCTAGTTTTGTGTACAGTGTAGTAGGATGTGTAGTCTCAAAGTCAAATGAATAATCTAAAGGCTGATTATTTATGAATAAATTAATACATGCATCTGATTTGCAGGAATAATCAGATATCATAACTACATATTGACAAACATGAACTTAGAATTTTATTTTGTTGAACAATGAGCAGTCACATACATTTATTTTATATACATTCTTGTGTTTCATAAAGAGACTAACTTTGTGCATTGCAATGGATATAGCTTTTATTTATACATTGTACAATATAACTTCTAAAAGAACTTGTACATTAAAACTCAAACATCAGATGCTTACTGATCATATCAGTTATTAAAGTATCTACATTGAGTTCTGAGTCTTCACTATTTTCCTCATCAATTGACCAATAAGCAATTACAAATCTATCAAGTTTTGTCTCACTAGCTGAGAGTCTTAAGACTATTCTACCAAAATAAAAGGTGTCATTGTCATTTATACATTCCCACTTGTGTTTCAGCAGTTGGCCAGTCATATCCTCTCCATTGATAATTTTAGCTAACACTTGTTTTTGTCTGGTCTCCACATTGCAGAATATTTCATCATTTATAAATAACTGACCTTTAGCCAACTTATCAACAACATCTATCTTTAACTTCTTTCTTTCTTTATTTTCTTTCTTTTTAATTGATTCTTCTCTTCTCTGTATGATTTCATTTTCAATTTCTCGCTGTTGGGTTTTGTGTGATCTTCGCCTGCGAGCACCTTCAGTTATAGCAAAATCAATTAGCTGATTTTGTTCATTGATACTTTTTGCATCAAGCCACTCCATTGTTTTATTTAATTTAGCTTTAACCTTGCAATCTACAAAACCTATAGTGGCATTTGGCGCTCGACGAATTAAAAAATCAGCCATTCCTAGTATTCTCTCACAGTGTATATTGTGTGGGGGGGCAGACTTGGTGGCCTCAAGCATTTCATCAGATGGATCTGATAAATAACTGCCCATCTGCCTTTTTATAACAACAACAGTTTCTTGCAACAAACAAGACAAAATATTTTCTAGTTTAACACTGTCATGTGCCCTATTTAAAAGTACTGCATGGACATCATCATGTTTGAGGGAGACTTCCTCAAATATTGTTGTGTGGCTTTTAATCAGCACTGGACTAGCAATCAATTTCTCCAACATGCTAACAGCATATTGAAAATTTTGGCTCTGTAAAAAAATAAAATAAAGTAGTAACTAACATTGTAGTCATTGAAAGAATGAAAATCTATCAATTTTTCAAACGAAGCACCTACTATTTGAAGATTTGTCCTGCCCATTGCATTTTTGTACAGAAGGGTCATCCAAGGCCCAGTGATAACTTTTCCTACTAACCCAAGAGCTTGTAACTGAAGTAATACATCTTCTTTACATAAATCTTTGTATAGATTTTTACAAATGTTATTGTGGTCATTTCTGTGAACATGAATTTATTATAGAATAAAAATGTGGTGTCAACATAAAAAAAATAATAAGTAAACACAAGCTAATTAATCATACAATTGTTTAAATAGAAATATTGGAGAATACCTCTTACAGAACTTCTTTAATATTTCTTCATATTTTATAATTACTCCTGCCATGTGAAATAGCACATGGTGCCTATTTCCCACATATCTAACAAAGCTGCTAGGTGTTACATTATTGTCTTTTAAAAACAATTTAAATGCAGCTGGTTCACCTTTTGAGCTGTACCTGGGGAAAAAATGTTCTTGTAAATAATGTTGTTCTAAAAAAATTGATAAAAAGTATGATAGTCAGTAAGATATTAGTAATCAACATATTTATTAATGTCTTTATTATTGGAAAAGTTTTCTTACCTTAGTTTTGATATGTTATATACTATTGAGACAGCAGCACAGTCTTTTCCACATGCTGATGTTGTGCCAATGGTTTTGTCCAGTTTTAAAAGATATTTCCTACATTGTGAAGCTATAGTGTCCAAGGGATGTATATTGCAATTTAATTTAATCAGCTGGACATTTAAATAATTTTCTAACATTTGTCGGACACAGTTATTTACCGGGGCTCTATCTGACAAACAACTTCTCATTTTCTTTTGACAATTGTCCATGAAATCAATATATGGGATCTTTTTAAATTCAGAAAATAGGGAACCTATTTCTCTCAAAGCAGATAAAATGTTTGTAGAATAATCATAAGCTCTTCCCCCTGCCACTCTTTGTGAAGATATAGTGTAATCCTTTCTAGGTGGATAGGTTGAAATACTAAATGCATTTATATGTTTCTCCCCTGTAGTAGTGGCATCAAACGATATTGTCATTGTGCCGCAATTCATTATGGCTTCACCAACTTGTATTAATGATAGAACCGCTGGCTCATAAATCATTCTTGATATATTTGAATAATGTGGAAATCTATCTAAATTTTTGTTGCATACTGTGCTAGAAAATGATTGTAAAATTTCACCTACTCCTCTAACTGGGCAATGACTTAAAAGTGATCTATAAATGCATTTTCTAAGTTTTGGACAATACCTATTGCCAGTTTTTGTTTCTATGTTTTCTTCTTTGTTCTCTAACTCTAAGTATAGATCAATTAAATTGTGATGATCTGCCAGAAGTTTACTTAGTTGCTGTTTCAGAGAACTAACTTCTTTTTTAAAACTTTCAATGACTTCTTTCTTATTGTCAATCACCATTTTGTGATTCAACAATGAGTGTTTCATTTTGCTTCTTAGTTTTGTGTTTTTTATTTTTAATATCATAATTTCTTTCTTTAAATCTCTTGTTGCTTTTGTTTGTTCAATAAATCTGCATTTTCTTTTTTCTTCTATACACTTGATTTTCAAAGTTGTAATCAATTTTTCTTTTTGCTTTACAGATCTTTTCAAATGTCTAATTTGAACAGTGTTTGTGTCTCTGATTTCTTTCCTTAAGGTTTTTATGGTTTCTAAATTTTTTCTCAATATTATGTTTTTTTCACAACACTGTGAGCACTTCTTTCTGCATAAAGGTTTGGTAGCTACCCCCAAATCAAATACTTGTGTATCTGTTGTAGTTTCATCCATTGTCATTGTCTCTTCACTCAAAGCAGTCAGCTGTTGTGTAGGATTTTGGTTATTTTCATTTCTCACAGATAGTGGTGTTGCCTGTGTGTTTATTCCTACATACGGTTCTTTGAAATAACTAACCAACTGATGCCAATTTCTTTCGGGGTTTGATTTTAAGAGCATGAATTTTTTAATGATTCTGTTTACAGAGTTTCTGTTAGCAAAATAGATTTTTGTTGTTTTTATATGTCTGTTTCTATCTAATAGCTCATCAAGTACCTTGGAGATATTTTTATTTTTTATATAGTACAAATAAACAACATTGCCTATTCGCACTTCACCACTTACATCAGAATAGCTTTGATAGAGATTTACTACATTCAAGGCATTCTTCTTCTCCATTCTGTCTTGCCTATAAATAATTAAATCATAAGTAGTTAATTATAGTTATATTATTTAATTTTTGACAATGGATAGCAAAAAAAAAATTAATAGTTATACTTATAATATATTTTATTATTAAAAAAAAAATACACGGACCTTTTGAAGAAGGGCATCGATACCACTAATTAAAAGTGACTGGTTTTTGTTTTTGTAACGTCCGAAAAAAATATGTTACTACTAATATATCAAGTTTTAGGCTTAATAAAGTTAATTAAACTTTGATAATATTAAACATATTAATATATTTACTAGAGTTATTAGTTAAACAATAGCTAGTGTGTTTGTGAGAGCTTAAAAAAAACAACTGAGTAATAAAATAAGCTAGATCTAGTAAGTCGAAAAAACTATATGCCTATTTTAAAATAAATAGTATAGTTAATAGGCCTACTTAATAGGTTGACAGACATTGAAATATGGTGTTTTATTAACAAGAACCTTACAATTTAAACAATAATTGAATCACTAATTTTAATTTTATCAATATTAATCATGAATAAAGCCTTTAGGGCTAATTAATTAACTAGTAAGTTCGGGGCTTAAATACTAGATTTAAGGCTGAACGGAGATGCATGTTAAGCGGTATCGATATTACTAGTATTGGTCTACTTTGTGAGACCATTTTCAATATTTTCTCGTGCGGCGTCAAACCGGCCCGTGACAAAACGGCCCCGTCAAAACAACCCCGACAAAACGGCCCCGTCAAAATAGCCCCGTCAAATCGGCCCCGTCAAAAGGTTCATAGACAAATGGATCCCGTCATTTAGGCTCCAGTCAAAAGGGCTACCGTCAATAAGGCTCGCGACAAAAAGGCTCCCGTCAATAAGGATTCTAACAAATAGGCTCCCGTCATTACGACAACCGACAATTTGGCTCATATCATTTAGGCTCCCGTCATTTAGGCTCCAGTCAATTAGGCTCACGACAAAAATGGCTCCAGACAAAAGGGCTCCCAGCAAAAGGGCTCCCGTCAATATAGTTCCTGATAAAACGGCTTCCGTCATTTAGGCTCGCGTCAAATTGGCTCCCGTTAAATTGGCTCATGACAAAAAGGCTCCGGTCTTTAAGACTCTCGATAAATTGACTCCCGTCTATGTGGCTCCCGTCATATAGGCTCCCGTTATTTAGGTTCGCGACAAATTGGCTCCCGTCAATATGGTTCCTGACAAAATGGCTCGTTATTTTGGCTCTCGTCAATACGGCTCCCGACATAATGATAATGGCTCATGTCAACACCCACCATTCCTCAATGGACTACAGAAATAAGCCTAAGATAATAAAGCATCCTTAGCTTTAGGTCGCCATGTCTTAATTTTAAAAAAAAGTATTTCTTGTACTGTATTAATTTTTAGTTTAGTGGTCATCTGTTACATTTCTACTTAGGGGTGTAGGATGCTGCCGTCCATTATACACACGCCAGGTTAGGGTCCCTACGATACAATTACAGTCAATATGCTTCCAGGTTATTAAAAAAATATGACTTCTTTGACTCCTTGCCCCCTTTTGATAGTCAAATAGAGGACACGTAACTGTTAGACCGATCCTCCAAAGTGTACTGTGGCGGACCGGGCAAGGGATGGGCACCAACAAGGCCGAGTTCTATTTCCCTACAACCAAACACACGCTGTCGCCGGCAAAATTCTTTTTAAAAAAACAACAAAGTCCATGGCACGAGAAGCCGCTACATATGAAGTGGGCTTTCGTGATGCGCGGTTCTTATTTGCGGCATTTGTTAGGGACCCGAAATCCATTGTACATTTTTCAATGTTAAATAGGTGTTTGTGATAGTGGTTGAATTTGTATCCTGTACTATCTTGTATCCTACAAATAATAAAAAAAATAATATGATACTAGAAACTTCAGTTTTATATACGTTTACTTTTTTTTTTTTTTTTTACAAGAAATATAATAGTAAACTTTTAGGGCCTATACTTGGAATTATCTCCCCTTAGTAAGTTTTACAAAGGGCGATGCTGACGTACATAAACGCTTTGTTGTCTCTTTCAAGTTTTTTCCCGAGCCGACCCCCATCCCACCCCTCTTTTTAGCCTCGCAAGTATCGAGTAGATAAATGTATCGTTTATGAACTATTTCCTAGGCTTGCGATTTAAAGTAGACTAACACATTGCTCAAAAGGCATGCATAATGTACAGACCACCCCCCCCCCTCCCCCACGCCTTGTAATACTAGCTAGTATGATAGTTAACCTCTTCGTTTGTTGTTTTTGTAGTCCAGGGATCAATTTTTCAAAAGCATGTTTGCTAGCCGTCATCCTTTTATGACGCCAACATGGTGGGTGGAGTGTCGATTAACATCGACTGTCGTGGACTGGGAAGGAGGGAGGGGGTCCATGTGGACATCCGTTCATTGAAATTAACATGTGAAAAACCTAGACAACAAACGCAAAATGTGTAACATGCATGCTAAATTTAAACAGAAACAGCTGAGCTTGGGTCGTGTGGCGTAAACAACAGCTCAGCATGCACTTAAATCAGGTTAATATAAAATTACAATACTCGAAACTTTGTAGAAAGCGAACTGTTTAAAGATAAAAATGTGATAACTCCTCAGAAAACGGTTTCTTTGTCGGGAAGTGTTTTAAGTCGGGAGTTATTTAACCGGAGCCATTTTATAGTGAGCCAATAAGTCGGGAGTCATTTAGTCGGGAGCCAATATGTCTGGATTTCTTTTGTCTAGAGTCCAATTGTCGGGAGCCATTTTGTCTGGAGCCAATATGGCGGGAGTCCTTTTGTCGGGAGCCCAACTGTCGGGAGCCCATTTGTCGGGAGCCAATATGTCGGGAGCCCAATTGTCGGTAGCCAATATGTAGTGAGCCCTTTTGTCGGGAGCCCATTTATCGTGAGCCTTTATGTCGGGAGCCAATATGTCGGGAGCCCATTTGTCGGGAGCCAATATGTCCTGAGCCTATCTGTCGGGAGCCTAAATGTCGGGAGCCCATTTGTCGGGAGCCTATATGTCGCAAGTCAATATGACGGGAGCCCATTTGACGGGAGCCAATAAGTCGGTGCCCTTTTGACGGGGCTATTTTGACGGGGTCGGTTTGTCGGGAGTCGATTTGACGGGATCATATTAACGGGGCCGTTTTGACGGGGCCGATTTGTCCCAGGTCGTTTTGACAGGGCACCTATTTTCTACATTATTAATAATTAACAAAAAGAAGTCTACTAGGGCATTTAATTAAATAGATAAATATATTACACTCAATCCATGTTTAGTTCAAGTGTGTATCTTTTTACAGAATTTTTATTTTAATAGCTCGATTCCCAGTTCGATCATGATGACAGCGAATTAGTTACAACTAGAGCGGGCCTTCAAAACAGTTCATATTTGTATAAATGTGTTTTGTATTAACATTTAACACAAGATAATTACGTTATCAACATTTAAACTCCAATTTTTGTAAGTATTCTTTTTTTTTTAAGCGTCAATGTCATAAAATTTATTATATTTTACAATCAATCAGTCGGCGCGGAAAGGGTTTTAAAAAAGTATCGATACCGTTTAAATAGTGTCACTCGGAGGATTGCTTTGTGAGACGAAGTTCGTCGTCTGCTAAAGCGTAAAATATTACAAAAAAATAGACTTAAGCAAAAAAATGAATTATTAAAATAATCCTAACAAATACAGAGCTAGTCCGAGTGTTAAAATATTTTATTACAATTTTTGAAAACTTACCTTTTTTAGTGGCTTTTGTTTTGACATATAGAAAAGTGGTCTTGAACAAAAAATTAATCTGCCGTAAGCGGCCGCATCAAGTCGTTCCGACTAAAGTTAAAACGGGTTACGGAATCACGTGATATCTATTTTAAAGCCGTTTGATGCGCTATGTGTAGACGGCTGTAGACGTAGATCTAATTATTTTCTTTGTAAACGAAAGGTTTTGAGACTGTGACGTCATATTTTCTTGGTTTGTGCAACTAACTACAGTAAATAAAGAGTAGGCCTTAGCGTACATTCGGTTTCTTTCTTGGTCAATTATTAATGAAAAGAAGTGCCCTCATAGTCAGGGAATACGTCTCATTTTTATGGTGTATCGGTGTTTACATGTGGAACTTTACTGTTTAATTTTTTATTGAAAACCACTTACATAATGATAAAGTTATGGTACAATATAGAAAAAAATAAGGTCTAGTTACTCTAGTATGATAAATAAATTGTATGCTATGCCACGTAGAAATTTAAGTCTAGATCTAGATCTAGATTTCTAGATCTAGATTCCTCTACTTCTATTTTAATTTTCGAAGTGACTACTCGGAAGAAGATTTTTCTCCCCAACGTCTCCACTTAGTCGGCAAAAGATAGCTCTGCGCATGCGCAGTGACCTATGGCTAGTGTCAGGGCTAGAATGAGGGTTAGGGATAGGATTAGGGTTAGGGATAGGATTAGGGCTAGGATTAGGGCTTAGGGTTAGGGATAGGATTAGTTAGGGTTAGGGTCAGCGATAGGATTAGTTAGGGTTGGTATTTTACTATTTTTAAATTTAAATTTTCCCTTTCTGCAATGACATTTGCTAATCCTGCCCTCTTTCTGTAAATATTGTTTGTTTTTTGATGGCTCAACAAGCAATATTGCCTCTATCTCTACTTCCATTCTTCCTTGTTCTTGTTTTAGTTTTTTTTAGAAAACAAAAGACTCCAGGGTGATCTTTTCCAACGATTACATGTCACCTCCTGTGCCACCCCTCATTTAGTTAGATGATTGTCATGTACAGACCAAATCTCTGGTTGAAAAAGCGGTGGAATCCTCACCTCTCTTGTATCTAACAACATTACTCGACAACAAACGTATCCGTTTAATGGCGTTTATCCTTTGTATGCTCCCGTCATCCTTAGTCGCATGGACCCCATTGTTCATCTTATAAGGATAGCAATTAGCATTGTCTCTTGATGTTCTGCCTAGTTGCATGTGGGCTGTTACTGTTGACTTGATTCTTTGATGGTTGTTTCACCTTGTTGACATAGAAGGAGCTATGACAGACAGTAGAAACGGCACCATTTTGCAATATTTAGGTGTTGATCCTTTGTGTTTAAGATACTCAGTAATCTCCAGTTGCTTGGATCCAATGGTTTACCTTATGAAGGATAGCAACTAGCATCATCTCTTCTCTTGAAATTTTCATCTTATTTCTTTCTTTATTTTAATGGTGTCTAGGTAGGAGCTATGCAATAACACATGTTTTGCAATATTAGTATTTTTATGTTTGTCGTCCTTATGGTTTGTCGGCCTTATGGTCTGTCATCCTCTTGGCTGTCTGTCATTTGGCTGTAAGGCTTTATGTCTTGTCAGCCTTTTGTCAGTGTCAGCCTTTTTTCTTGTCAGCCTTTTGGATGTAGGCCTTTTGTCCTACTCCCGGAACGGGTATGCTAGTTACCACTAAAGCAAACAGAGTAATAGTTTATGAATATCAAAAATAGCTTTTTAAATTTCTCTGCTTTTATGACTGCTTCTGTCAAGGCCTTGGTAAATGTTACAGACTATATCCTCATGTAGGTAGGTGGGGCAGCATGGTCAAACACATGATAAATCATGAATTGGTTTCTGTTCTAGAGATCATGTTTTCCCCATAACAAACAGCTCATACCTCTTGGGCCGGTACTGACTACTTACAATAGAGAGAGGGGAAGTTTAGGTTATGATTAGCCTAATATAAATTACAGTATTAATTTTAATTTAATGTTATGATAGTAATTAAGCCCAAATTATTTAATCCTTACTTTTAGATAGCTTTATATTTTCTAATTTCTTAAGCAGGTGAAGATATGGACCTGTTGGAATTAACTTTCCTGGGTACAGCTTCTGCTGTGCCTACACCCACTAGATGTGTATCATGTACAGCATTAAGGCATGGTTAGTAATCAAGTATATAGGCCTTTATATGATTGCTTGTTTGATGTGGATTGCTTTAGACTTAATTACATTTCAGATGAAGGTGTTTGGTTGTTTGATTGTGGGGAGTGCTCACAAGTGCAGATCATGAAAAGTCAAATAAAATCAGGAAAAATCAGCAAGATCTTCATTACTCATCTTCATGGGGATCATGTATGTACTAGTATGATATAACTCAATTTGTCAGTATCTTTAAGATGGTTACACCATTTTTTTTACCCACCAAAGCAAAAAGGTAAAAAAACGTTTTCATATCATATTGGATAATTGGTGCACAGTTAATCAGAAAATTGCTTACCATAAAAATTCTACAGACCTCAAAACTTGAAAGCCCTGTTGTGAGTATATTAAAAGTTTGAGTTAGAATCTGTTGATACTACTCTAGCATCCTGTAAATCACTGCTCTTTACAGATAAGTAGATTTTTTAAAAAGATCTTATCTTATGACCATAGATTGTTTAAATTAAAAGTTGTATTTCTTTTAATAAAATGTTTCAGCTGTTTGGTTTACCAGGGCTTTTATGTACTATGAGCCAAAACAACCAAAGAGACGAACCAGTGGAATTATATGGCCCTTTAGGGTTGAGGCATTACATCTGTACAGCCTTGTGTCATTCTCGTTCAGATTTGAACTTTGATTTCATTGTTCATGAGTTACAACCACTGGATGTGCAGCTACCAGATAATATTGAGGTAATCTGAGTAATTAAACATTTTCGTACACCATTCCTGTAATGTCTAAAATGGTACTGTTATATATTTTTCAGTGAGACAGTTGTAAAGGCCCTCGTCATAACGACTCCTCGTATAGAGGAAGTATTTCAATCATGCACAAAAATCACCATTTTACACCTCAGTACTTCATCATATACAGAGTATAGGGGACTTATTTTAATCTGGTAAAAATTCTAAATCCAGTTTTATAAAAATGTAGGTGTTTCATACTTATTTGACTAATAACTTGAGTACCATTACAGCTAGGTTGATGAAATTTCATATAGAAATTTTTTAGTTCTGTATCAACTTTTCAACAATTTCTGGTAATGGAAGGGGAACTTTTGGATTTTGAAAAGCCTATAACTTGAGTACTGTTTCAGATAGATAGACAAAATTTCACATAAATTAATGATCTAATTCTCTGCCTTCTGTCAAATTTTGGGTAATTTCCGTTTACTGGAAGTAGTGGTAAAAAAAAAGTTTCCCTTTCAAACCTGACGGTCTATGGGGCAAGTGAAGTAGAGTTCACTTGTTTCTGTGACATCGGCATATGCAGAGATAGTGTGATTAGCACTATGCCCAGCCGCCTTTACTCTCCCTAATGTGAGTTAGGTACCCATCAGAGTTGGGTGGACTCGGGACGGTCTACTGACTTTAACCCGGATTCGAACTCGAGACTAACAGGTTAGCAGTCCAGCTCTCTACCGCTAGACCACTCTGTCCTACTGGAAGTAGTGTTTTCCGCTAATTCCGATTTCTCAAAAAACACATGAATTTATAAAGTGCTCTAATATTCCGCACTATAATACACATATTGTTTGCTGTTCACTCGATGCACAATTCTTTTTTCTACAATATTCTATTCTACTAGCCATGGGTTGTATGGCAAATAGTTATTGGTCAAAATGCAGTGTGCTTTATTATACGTTGAACAATATTAGTGACTAAGCAAAGAAATAACTAAATAGCTAAAATCCTATACATTTAAAATAACATAGGCAACCAATACTTATTAGAAAAAATAAAACCAAATTATATACATTATTATTCAACACAACACCATATTAAATGCATATACTGATTAAAAACTTGAGTGATTTAGTTAAGCTGTTCAATTGTATTTATGCTGTTTTTTAGAGCAATTTGTATTAGTTTGGTCTAGAAAATTGTATAGATTTCATTTGAGAAGTAGATCTATAGAACTAAATCAAATTTGAATGAAATATTCATTTCTTCATATTCTAAAATTGGAAGATGAGGCCATTAGTGTTGTGTACTTTCCATAGTTTAAACTTGTGACATATGACGTCATTGTTTTAGCGTTCTTGGCACAACCATAGACAGATTTCCGGTTAAATAATAAAAATGTGTTTCTACATTCGAATATGCCTTTATTTTTATTTTCCTTCTTTAAATAAAATTTAGTTTATTCATTTAATACATCCAATATATATTATTTTCAATAAAAGCTCATATCTTTAAGTTCTCCTTGTATAGCTGAAGGTACTGATCTCAATTCTCATAGCCTTGAGACTGATAAAAAGAGAGAGAGAGAGAGGTGCGCACATGGGCTGTTATATAGTAGGATTTTAGAAAGTTTAAGTAATAAAAAATTGATTAAAAATCATGTCTATATCCTGAGTTGCCATTCCCTGTAATGTTATATAAGTATATTGGAGAGGGTTTAGGGGAGATCACTCCTGCTTTATTTTTTTTTCAAAGACAACCATTCACTATTGAAAATAATTATCTGTTATGTAATAATTTTTGTTTTGTTCTTTCAATGTTTAAAAATATTTCGTTTTTAAATTTGAATTAGCTTTGGGTTTTAGTGTTTAGTATATATTTTTAAATTTTGTGTGTAGGAGTGGCCTTGTGACAACAATAAATTAAGTATTCCTTTCCACCCTAAAGAAAAAAAAGGAAGCTTAATTTCTGCTGATGAAAACCAGATTTGGCAGTTGTAAGTAAATTTTAAAATTGAATTTAAACCAAATGGTACCAAACTGAATATTTTTTAAACTTTTAAATTGATCTCTAACAGACATTCAGACACAAAACTCAGTGTCCAAGCTGTCTGGGTTAAGCACAGAATTCCCAGTTTTAGCTTTGTAATTAAGGAGTCTGCAAAACCTGGAAAGTAAGTTTTTTTCTGGCCTGTAAAACCATGGCCCTATATTCATGCTCTATCCCTCAACACTTTTTATCTCTTGTGGTGATCTGTGGTATGAGCAATCTATTAAATGATATATGTTACTTGAAATAATTGTTTTACTACTTACCAACCCTCAATGTCAGCTGTAAAATATAACTGGAGTTAATAAGCAAAACATTCATCAACAATGAAGTAACAAGATGAGTCTGTGAAGCCTAAAAATGGTCAAAGCTATACATTTCAATGTCTGCAGATTAAATGCTGAGTTGTTGAAATCAAAAGGTGTTCCTCCTGGTCCATTATATGCTAAATTAAAATCTGGTCAGTGCATAACCACTGATCAGGGACAAATTGTAAGTAAAGCAATGTTGTTACTAGCAATCAACTGTTATGATTATCTTATAATATTATTTACTTTTATTTTCATTTGGTAACTAGAGATTTAAAAAAAAAATAGTTATTAAATTTAATTATGTAGAAAAATATTTTTTTTTAGCAAATCTACTATCATACATTCCCCATACCAGAGTCTTCCCATCTGTCACCTAACTTCTATGTTATATCTATTCCCTAACACTAATGTTTGACCCATAATCTAAAATCTATGTTCCACCCATCACCTAATTTATATGTTCCATCCATCACCAAAATCTATATTCCACCCATCAACTTATATTTATGCTCCACCTAACATCTATGCAGAGGCGTAGCGACCCTTCCCGGCGCCCGAGGACAAATTTTCAATTTGGCGCTCCCCTCGGGAACAACCTTTCAATTTTCAATTTGAACCCCCCACCCCCTCAAACTTTCGATTTGCACACAAACCCCTTAAACTTTCAATTTGCACCCCCCCCCCCCCCACCCCCATATATTCTTAATATTTATAATGCAAAACTGCAGATAAAATGAGATTTTTATTTGTTTTTACAACCTGGTGCCCCCAAAGTCTGCCCCAGGGACATATGTACCCCCCACCCACCCCCTCTGCATCTATGTTCCATCTGACAACTAACAACCATCATCTGTCTAAGAAACAACACCCATCCTCCATCCTGTTGTCACTAGATCTCACCCTCTGATGTATTAGGGCAACCAATTCCTGGAAGAACATTGGTTATATCTGGAGATTCTTGTGATTCATATCAGCTGTTCAAGGTAGCAAAAGGAGCATCAGTTTTGGTACATGAAGCAACTTTAGAGAATTCTCTGCAAGACCAGTGTGTCAAAAATGGTCATTCAACACCAGGTATGAACAACTAGATATATATATATGAATATATATATGTATATATAAATGTGTATATGTATATATATATATTTGTATATGTATATATATATAGTTGTATATGTATATATATATTTGTATATGTATATATATATATATATTTGTATATGTATATATATATATATATTTGTATTTGTATATATATATTTGTATATATATATATATATATATATATATATATTTGTATATGTATATATATATATTTGTATATGTATATATATTTGTATATGTATATATATATATTTGTATATGTATATATATATTTGTATATGTATATATATATATATATATATATTTGTATATGTATATATATATATATGTATATATATATATATATATATATATACATATATATACATATATATATATATATATATATATATATATATATATATATATATATATATATATATATATATATATATAAATATATATATATATATATATGTATATATATATATAAGATATGTATAAGATCAATACTCCTTTAAACTTATATTCAATGAGGTAAATTACTATTTCAAAATACCTTAAAATATTCCATTGAAGTCTAAAAAGAAATGAGCAAGTGCTGATAATAGAGAAAAAAGACTACTTATATTTTTAAAATTGTGAATGCAATTGAAAAATTTTCCTAAATTGTATTGATACAATGATTTTGTCAGAAATACAGAAATAATAATTTTTTTTGGTTTTATAGAGATTTGTCATTACATTTTTTGTCAAATTTGTATGTCAAAAGTGAATGAAATAATGCAACATAATTGTTATTGCTGGTAAACAGCATCTTATGTCTCCTTTTGAAGAGGATTACAGGCTTTCTCAGATTAGTTTATCTGCAGCATCCTACTTAGCCAGTTGACTAGACTCTATTGTCTGTCTCACTCTGTTGGGAACTGGTGAAGTATTGGGCATATACATTTTTGTGGATCGTTTAGGTGTTGAACCCATCTTGATATCATACAGAAAACTGGGCTATGCTCCTGAAATAACCCCCTTAGTTCCAATTTTTATTAACCTAAGAAAACTAAATGAGTGTAGGGATCTTACAAAGTAACAGAATTCACCTGCTTGTTGTTTTTATAGTGGAATCAGTCATAGTTGTATGCATCGAATATTTTTTCTGTAACTATAGGTCAACTTATTTAAAAGTAGATACAAACTTCTTGTTTCTTTGCATTGAAACATTTAAAGAAAAAGTGAAACAACTAACATTAATTTGTGTTTGCTATTTAATTTAAAAAAAAACATTATGCCTGTATCTGCACATTAAAACGTTTATTGTAGTAGTAAAAACCAATAATTGGGTTGGGAAGTGAAATTCACCATTGTTGACATGACAAATTTGGGGCTCCTAGGCTAAATACACCAGGACACTCTCCCTTCAGTCCGCCACTACTAATTGACTAACATGCTTGTGGCTGGATTCTTCATGCTGACAATTGTTTTCTTGACACTTGTGCATTATACCAGTAGTGTCACAAGGGATGGTGGTGGGTGCAGTCTGTACAGCCTGATGCCATTTAGGGTGTGACATTTTAGTTTGGTCTAGCAGTAGACAGTGCGATAACGACCCTAAAAGTCACAAGTTTAAAACCCAGGCTCTAGTCCATCGGTCATCTCCTGACAGTCAGTCATTCATGTCCAGGTGGGGGTAACACCAAAATGAACTATGATAAAATTTACTTTCAAGACAATGCTTATCCTCTTACAATAATGAAATAGTAGAGTGAGAGGGGTGACACCAAAATGAACTATGATAAAATTTACTTTCAAGACAATGCTTATCCTCTTACAGTAATGAAATAGTAGAGTGAGAGGGGTGACACCAAAATGAACTATGATAAAATTTACTTTCAAGACAATGCTTATCCTCTTACAATAATGAAATAGTAGAGTGAGAGGGGTGACACCAAAATGAACTATGATAAAATTTACTTTCAAGACAATGCTTATCCTCTTACAATAATGAAATAGTAGAGTGAGAGGGGTGACACCAAAATGAACTATGATAAAATTTACTTTCAAGACAATGCTTATACTCTTACAATAATGAAATAGTAGAGTGAGAGGGGTGACACCAAAATGAACTATGATAAAATTTACTTTCAAGACAATGCTTATACTCTTACAATAATGAAATAGTAGAGTGAGAGGGGTGACACCAAAATGAACTATGATAAAATTTACTTTCAAGACAATGCTTATCCTCTTACAGTAATGAAATAGTAGTGTGAGCAGGGTAACACCAAATAAAAAATTCAAAATTTTTGTAGGAGGTGGTTTGACTTCCTTTGTTACTATATTGGATGACAGCCGCCCTAATGACATCACTGTATACCTAATGACATCACTGTTTACCTAATGACATCACTGTTTAATACTGAACTATAAGTGGACAGAAAGCAATGAGCACTGATGTTGTATTAACAATGTATGCATAGCACTGAACTATGACTTTACAGTTTGCATTAATAAACTCTAATCTTTATAATATGCGTTTGATATTATATTTTTAAACCCACTAATGTATAAGTATTATTATATCCAATTTGTATTTTTCTATTAACTAATGAACAATTTCTGGTAGTGGTAATTACTATATTTCCAGTTTTTCAAAAGCCGATAACTAAGTTAAGTTTCATTTAGGAGGACAAAATTTCATATACAACTATTATCTCTTGTATTTTAGTCTATTTTTTAATTTCTCAAAAAATCTTCAGAATTTGATAATTTTGTATCATACTCTGATACCATAGAGCAAATTCTAAGAACATTTCACCTCTATGTGTTTTCTTGGAAAATGAGCGGCTAGTCACAAAGTTCTATAATAAATTCTATAACCTGATAGCATTGATTAGAAATGCCATCCCCTTATTGTTTTATATGAATATTTTTGGCCTATACAGTGGGCACACAATATAAATAACATTGTTTCCCTGACCTCACCATATGTAAGGATGGAGAGGTTTTATAAATCAGTTGGATATAAAGTAAAAGTATGACATAGATTTGACATAACTGAAAAAAAAAGGTAAAAATGTATAACTTTATTTTTTCCATTTAGCAATGACAGCTAGTTTAGCTAAGCAGCTGGATGTTAAACTACTCATCATAACACATGTCAGCGCCAGGTACAAACCTCTATCTGCAGAACTTAAGGTCAGTACTACACATCATAATACAAGACACATCCATTCCTTCACTTGATAATATCTACTTGCTTTATTTTTAGTATTTTGATTTTTCCCCCAAAACAATAAAAACAGGTGAAGGGACATTTATTTTTGTGTTTCAAAAATAATATAAGTATTATTCTAAAAGATAAATGGCCCATTGAGGTAGAAATACGACAGGCTCTAGCTTGTTGTCTTTTTCTTTAAACCGAAACCAAAATCATCACCCCAACTTCAAATCTAACCTCCCCCTGTAACGACATAGTTTCAAGTGCCCCCCTCTCCCTCTGGGGTGAAAAAAGTCTGAAAGAAACACTTGGCACATTGGTAGATCATACAGACTAAAGGTAGACCCTTCTTTTGTAATCTAGACCCATTGCCTACTTTTGGCCTCAATCTAGCAAACAGTGTTTCTTTCAGACATTTTTTCGGAGGTGGGGCACTTGAAATTTTTGCAGGCGAATAAATTTATCTGGGTCAGGGGCCGGCACTGGTAAAAAAAGGATGTATTTCCTATATAAATTATATTTTGATGGGGGGGGAGGGGGAGCTTTGCCCCTACCCATAGAGATGCCTGAAAGAAATTTTGCACGTAAACCTCTTTTAAAATTAGACAAATGATTATTATTGTGTATTATTTTTTGGGCAATGGCTTTTTTATTGTATGTTCACTCTAGAATCAATGAAGTCATATTATTGTGTGTACTTTTCCAGCTTTAAAGTATTTCCTACTATATGTTCTATGTGCAGTCATGTTTCGCTTTCCGTTTGATTGTAGAAATTTTTACTTTCGCTGTGTTTTTTTTTTATAGCGTTCCCAACAGATAGTTAGATAGATAGAGTGATAGTAACAGAATAGCGAAATTTTTTGTATAGATAGTTACACACAGCACATATGGTAAGGTCACCTATATATAGCATAATTTAATTTAATTAACAGCTGTTTAAATTTGTACATTTTGTATGTTGGTCACATTTTTATTTTTGATACTCCCCTCTCGGTATAAATGTCATAAATGAATGACCACCATTGTAAATGGCGCTCATGTCATAGCTAAATACAAATCATTTGCTAGTCATACTTTTGAATTCTTTAGAATAATGTAATTGGTGACTAGAGTACGAAAATACTTGTTGATGTAATTTCAGGATGGTGACAAGAGTGCTAAAATACTTGTTGATGTAATTTCAGGATGGTGACCAGAGTGCTAAAATACTTGTTGATGTAATTTCAGGATAATGACCAGAGTGCTAAAATACTTGTTGATGTAATTTCAGTATAATGACTAGAGTGCTAAAATACTTGTTGATGTAATTTCAGGATGGTGACAAGAGTGCGAAAATACTTGTTGATGTAATTTCAGGATGGTGACCAGAGTGCTAAAATACTTGTTGATGTAATTTCAGTATAATGACTAGAGTGCTAAAATACTTGTTGATGTAATTTCAGGATGGTGACTAGAGTGCTAAAATACTTGTTGATGTAATTTCAGGATGGTGACCAGAGTGCTAAAATACTTGTTGATGTAATTTCAGGATGGTGATCAGAGTGCTGAAATACTTGTTGATGTAATTTCAGGATGGTGACAAGAGTGCTAAAATACATGTTGATGTTATTTCAGGATGGTGACTAGAGTGCTAAAATACTTGTTGATGTTATTTCAGGATGGTAACCAGAGTGCTAAAATACTTGTTGATGTAATTTCAGGATGGTGACCAGAGTACTAAAATACTTGTTGATGTAATTTCAGGATGGTGACTAGAGTGCTAAAATACTTGTTGATGTAATTTCAGGATAATGACTAGAGTGCTAAAATACTTGTTGATGTAATTTCAGGATGGTGTCCAGAGTGCTAAAATACTTGTTGATGTAATTTCAGGATAATGACTAGAGTGCTAAAATACTTGTTGATGTAATTGCAGGATAAAGACTAGAGTGCTAAAATACTTGTTGATGTAATTTCAGGATGGTGACAAGAGTGCGAAAATACTTGTTGATGTAATTGCAGGATAAAGACTAGAGTGCTAAAATACTTGTTGATGTAATTTCAGGATGGTGACCAGAGTGCTAAAATACTTGTTGATGTAATTTCAGGATGGTGACTAGAGTGCTAAAATACTTGTTGATGTAATTTCAGGATGGTGACTAGAGTGCTAAAATACTTGTTGATGTAATTTCAGGATAATGACTAGAGTGCTAAAATACTTGTTGATGTAATTTCAGGATAATGACTAGAGTGCTAAAATACTTGTTGATGTAATTTCAGGATGGTGATCAAAGTGCTAAAATACTTGTTGATGAAGCTTGTGAGATATTTGAAGATGTTCTGCTTGCTGAAGACTTGCTGGTGTACAGACTACCCCCTTCAGATCAGGCCTTACACAGAAATGTTGACCCAACATGATCTAAATTGTATAACTATTTAACTGACTATAAATAAATCATTTTTTTTAACACATCAAATAGGTAGTTAATACTGCTGTTTGCAAGTTACAAGTTGTTACATTGTAAAAATGAAATTGGAAAGCTTTGCAATCCATTTGCATTTATAATTCTATTTTTGCGTTTCAATGTCTGTTTTAGGAGCATTTTATAACTTATTTGAATGTTATTGATGTTGAAAAATTTTACATTAAAAATCTGACACTCAAAAATGCTTAAGACACATCTAAATTTTAGACTTTTATTCTTAAAACAACATTAAGATTTAATAGCATCCAGCATTTCCTGGCCCTGCAGCAGATGTCTTCCCATCAGGACAGCAACCATATCTGGTACCAGCACATCCACCAATCAAGCAATTTTTGCCATTTTCACCAGCAGCTGTCTTCCCATCAGGACAGCAACCATACCTGGTACCAGCACATCCACCAATCAAGCAATTTTTGCCATTTTCACCAGCAGCTGTCTTCCCATCAGGACAGCAACCATACCTGGTACCCTTACATCCACCAATCAAGCAATTTTTGCCATTTTCACCAGCAGCTGTCTTCCCATCAGGACAGCAACCATACCTGGTACCAGCACATCCACCAACTTTAATGTTAGGGCAGCCTTTATTATTTTTCCCTCTTGCAGATGTTTTCCCATCAGGACAGCAGCCATATCGTGTTCCTCTGCAGCCACCCAGCAGTTGGATTGGACAACCTGCCTGGTTAGGTCCTGTTGCTGGTGTCACATTATCTGAACAACATCCATAGGCTGTCCCAGCACATCCACCAGGTGGAGGAGGACAGCCTTGCTGGTCAGGCCCTAGAGCAGCTGTTGTAGAATCTGGACAACAACCATGTTGTGTTCCAGCACATCCACCAACCACTAATCAATGATAGAAAAAAATCACCTGATTACAAAATCATGTCATGGCTTTTTTTTTTTTTTTAAATTTCACACATGCACACACACACACGTTTACACTCACTTATGTCTCTTTAAATAAATATATATATATATATATATATATATATATATATATATATATATATATATATATATATATATATTTACAACTTTACATTTTAAAAAGATTTCATCAATTCTTATTTTTAAACACGTGACATTGTTTTCTAAAAGTGTTATTTAAGTGTAAACAGCAACGGTGCTATATTGGATTTTAGTTGTTGGGTCGCTGGCTAATCTTCACTATCGCAGAGACGCCACTAGGCGTGCTGTTTGAAGACCTTGAATATAATAACCCTATTTAAAACGATAGGGGGCGCCATAGTGCTCACAGGGATATTATAATTATAATGCCTAGGTTTTTTATTTTGTACTTTTTAAAATTTTTTTGTTACTAAAGAATTTTAAAAGCTTGGCATTTCACAATTTGCCTGAGCAGTTCTTGTTGTTCTATATAATCTCTAGGCATCTTATATATAGCCTAGGAAAAATTATATAACTATGCCAATATTTCATTCTTTGCCAGAAAATGCCAGGGATACATTCCCTAAGCATTCTATAGAAAGCATGCTTTTCACACTTAGCTGGTATAATAGATATATGTATGTATGTATATATATATGTATATATATATACATATATATATACATATATATATATATATATACATATATATATATATATATATATATATATATATATATATATATATATATATATATATATATATATATATATATATTATATGTACAGAAAGATAAATTTATAAATATACATTTAGATACATGTATGAAAACATACATCTATAGGCGTATACATGTAAATATACATTCAGATATAACTAGATAATGAGATAATTGTTTAGTGCCAGCATTGAGTAGTCTAGGCTGAAATTGGTCTAAGTTGTTACTTAAAAAGTAAAGAAATGAGCAGTTAGCGTTGGTTAAATGACTTACTTATTTCTTGCTCCGCCACAGTGAAACCAATGAAAACAACAAGAGCAAGGTGGAACAACATTTTTATCTGATCAGTGCTAGTGTTAATTCTGTAAAAATACACATGATAAAATATATCAACACTTGAGTAAGAGAAACATTGAGACATATGGATACTAAAGAGGAGGAGATGTTGATCGCCAGATGAAGTCCTGTCAAAATGTAGAGCTTTGTTATTATAAGTATTATAAGTCTACCAAATATAGGAATTGTGTGTCAGTTTTTGTTGTAATTTGAAACATTGAAGTAATTGAACATACCTTAAACTAATACTATTTTTACTGGACTCAAAATTTTGAAAGAATTAAATTGATTTTTCAGAGGACAGTTGAAGTAAATTTTTATTAGCTGGCAGTTCATTTTCTTTGGGCTTAGTTGTATTCTTTGTGTAGACAGTAACTGCTGGTAGTGGTAGTAAATAATGACTAGCTGATTAATCTGTGGTCACTCATGTGAAAGGGTGCAAGTTTATTTTAAAATATATGCATTCAAAACTTATTAAAACGTGTTACCCAGGACCAAAAGTTTGAGTGAGTGAGACAAAACTTACCTGGGCCAAGTTTGAGTGAGACAAAACTTACCTGGGCCAGAGGCGTAGCGACCCTTCCCGGGGACAAACTTTTCGATTTGCACCCCCCTCAAGATTTTGATTTGCACCCCCTAAAACTTTCGATTTGCACCCCTCTCAACCTTTTAATTTATCTTTCCAGCCCATTTTGGCGCCCCCTAAGGTCGGCGCCCGGGGACATATGTCCCCCCCCCTTGCTACGCTACTGACCTGGGCCAAGTTTGAGTGAGTGAGACAAAACTTACCTGGGCCAAGTTTAAGTGAGTGAGACAAAACTTACCTGGGCAAAGTTGGAGTGAGACAAAACTTACCTGGGCCAAGTTTAAGTGAGACAAAACTTACCTGGGCCAAGTTGGAGTGAGACAAAACTTACCTGGGCCAAGTTTGAGTGAGTGAGACAAAACTTACCTGGGCCAAGTTTGAGTGAGACAAAACTTACCTGGGCCAAGTTTGAGTGAGTGAGACAAAACTTACCTGGGCCAAGTTTGAGTGAGACAAAACTTACCTGGGCCAAGTTTAAGTGAGACAAAACTTACCTGGGCCAAGTTTGAGTGAGTGAGACAAAACTTACCTGGGCCAAGTTTGAGTGAGTGAGACAAAACTTACCTGGGCCAAGTTTGAGTGAGTGAGACAAAACTTACCTGGGCCAAGTTGGAGTGAGACAAAACTTACCTGGGCCAAGTTTAAGTGAGACAAAACTTACCTGGGCCAAGTTTGAGTGAGTGAGACAAAACTTACCTGGGCCAAGTTTGAGTGAGACAAAACTTACCTGGGCCAAGTTTGAGTGAGACAAAACTTACCTGGGCCAAGTTTGAGTGAGACAAAACTTACCTGGGCCAAGTTTGAGTGAGACAAAACTTACGTGGGCCAAGTTTAAGTGAGACAAAACTTACCTGGGCCAAGTTTGAGTGAGTGAGACAAAACTTACCTGGGCCAAGTTTGAGTGAGACAAAACTTACCTGGGCCAAGTTTAAGTGAGACAAAACTTACCTGGGCCAAGTTTGAGTGAGTGAGACAAAACTTACCTGGGCCAAGTTTGAGTGAGTGAGACAAAACTTACCTGGGCCAAGTTTGAGTGAGACAAAACTTACCTGGGCCAAGTTTGAGTGAGTGAGACAAAACTTACCTGGGCCAAGTTTGAGTGAGACAAAACTTACCTGGGCCAAGTTTGAGTGAGACAAAACTTACCTGGGCCAAGTTTGAGTGAGACAAAACTTACCTGGGCCAAGTTTGAGTGAGACAAAACTTACGTGGGCCAAGTTTGAGTGAGTGAGAAAAAACTTTCCCGGGGTTAAGTTTGAGTGAAACAAAACTTACCTGGACTATAAGTTTCAGTAAATTCAGTGGAACTACACTAGAAGATCACTACTTTATAGTTGAGTTAATGAGCTTTTAATGATGTTCTACCACCATGATCATTAATGAAACATCCTTAGATCAAAGGTGAGTGGAGTATAATTATTCTCGTATTTGAATAAACTTGTTGAAACCTAAATGGTACATTAGACAGGTTTTCCTTGTTTTGCAATAATTTGCATATTTAAAGTGTAAACCAAATCTATAGCCTACTAAAGACGGAGTGAAAGAACTTATGTATGTTCACATAGCCTACTACTACCTACTATTGACACTAGGCCTAAGTGAAAGAACTTATGTTTGTGCACATAGATCGGTACCAACAGAAAGTGCTTCTTCCGGAATTGGGAATTCACTCAACATGTGATAGATTCAAGATTATGAGATATTAAACCAATCCATAAAAATTTCGTTTAACCTAATTATGTATTCACGTTTTCGGTATTTTAGAAACCTGGTGGTCTTGTCTTGTGTACTAGGATGGTCTTGTCTAGTGTACTAGGATGGTCTGGTCTAGTGTACTGGAATGGTCTGGTTTAGTGTACTTGGATGGTCTGGTCAAGTGTACTTGGATGGTCTGGTCTAGTGTACTAGGATGGTCTGGTGTAGTGTACTAGGATGGTCTTGTCTAGTGTACTAGGATGGTCTGGTCTAGTGTACTGGAATGGTCTGGTTTAGTGTACTTGGATGGTCTGGTCTAGTGTACTTGGATGGTCTTGTCTAGTGTACTTGGATGGTCTTGTCTAGTGTACTAGGATGGTCTGGTCTAGTGTACTTGGATGGTCTTGTTTAGTGTACTTGGATGGTCTGGTCTAGTGTACTAGGATGGTCTGGTCTAGTGTACTTGGATGGTCTTGTCTAGTGTACTAGGATGGTCTAGTCTAGTGTTCTAAGATGGTCTGGTCTAGTGTACTGGGATGGTCTGGTCTATTGTACTAGGATGGTCTGGTCTAGTGTACTAGGATGGTCTGGTCTAGTGTACTAGGATGGTCTGGTCTAGTGTACTGGGATGGTCTGGTAGGATGGTCTTGTCTAGTGTACTTGGATGGTCTTGTCTAGTGTACTAGGATGGTCTGGTCTAGTGTACTAGGATGGTCTGGTCTAGTGTACTTGGATGGTCTGGTAGGATGGTCTTGTCTAGTGTACTTGGATGGTCTTGTCTAGTGTACTAGGATGGTCTGGTCTAGTGTACTTGGATGGTCTGGTCTAGTGTACTGGAATGGTTTGGTCTATTGTACTTGGGTGGTCTGGTCTAGTGTACTTGGATGGTCTTGTCTAGTGTACTAAGATGGTCTGGTCTAGTGTACTGGGATGGTCTGGTCTATTGTACTAGGATGGTCTAGTCTAGTGTACTAGGATGGTCTGGTGTATTGTACTAGGATGGTCTGGTCTAGTGTACTGGAATGGTCTGGTTTAGTGTACTTGGATGGTCTGGTCTAGTGTACTTGGATGGTCTTGTCTAGTGTACTAAGATGGTCTGGTCTAGTGTACTGGGATGGTCTGGTCTATTGTACTAGGATGGTCTAGTCTAGTGTTCTAAGATGGTCTAGTCTAGTGTACTAGATGATCTGTTCTACTGGCATGGTCTTGTCTAGTGTACTAGGATGGCCTGGTCTAGTGCACATGGATGGTCTGGTCTAGTGTACTGGGATGGTCTGGTCTAGTGTACTTGGATGGTCTTGTCTAGTGTACTAAGATGGTCTGGTCTAGTGTACTGGGATGGTCTGGTCTATTGTACTAGGATGGTCTAGTCTAGTGTTCTAAGATGGTCTAGTCTAGTGTACTAGATGATCTGTTCTACTGGCATGGTCTTGTCTAGTGTACTAGGATGGCCTGGTCTAGTGCACATGGATGGTCTGGTCTAGTGTAATGGGATTGTCTGGTCTAGTGTTACTAAGGGGTCGTCAATAAATTTCGTCACACTCGTTGGTGTGAGGGGTGTCCATAATTTTGTGACGGTGTGTGATGCGGGGGAGTTTTAACCGTTAATTCGCGTTTTAGAAAACTGTTTTAATAAACTGCAACAGGATTTGTTAAAATATTCTATAGTGACAGAGTTCAGACAAAATTTTGGAAAATATGTTATGAAAAGTTCAACTGCAATTTTGAGGGGGTTTATAAGCTGGGGTGTGACTTCATTTTAGGGGGGGGGGTGTCTGACTTTTTGTGACGGAGGGGAGGAAGTAAAAATCGTCAAAAAGCGTGACGTCATTTATGGCAACCTTTTACCCACTATTGATGTTACAAAATAGAAAGTCTGACGAAATAGCGTTTTCAGTTTTTTATTCTTTGAATTAAAATTGCAACAATGTTTTGGTCAGCTAGCTTTTTTTAATATGGACCATAACCATCTTACTCTTTAATGTCAAACACTAGCAATTTTTGCGATTTTCATCAGCAGCTGTCTTCCCATCAGAACAGCAACCATATCTGGTACCAGCACATCCACCAATCAAGCAATTTGTGCGATTTTCATCAGCAGCTGTCTTCCCATCAGAACAGCAACCATATCTGGTACCAGCACATCCACCAATCAAGCAATTTTTGCCATTTTCATCAGCAGCTGTCTTCCCATCAGAACAGCAACCATATCTGGTACCAGCACATCCACCAATCAAGCAATTTGTGCGATTTTCATCAGCAGCTGTCTTCCCATCAGGACAGCAACCATATCTGGTACCAGCACATCCACCAATCAAGCAATTTGTGCGATTTTCATAAGCAGCTGTCTTCCCATCAGGACAGCAACCATATTCGGTACCAGCACATCCACCAATCAAGCAATTTGTGCGATTTTCATAAGCAGCTGTCTTCCCATCAGGACAGCAACCATATCTGGTACCAGCACATCCACCAATCAAGCAATTTGTGCGATTTTCATAAGCAGCTGTCTTCCCATCAGGACAGCAACCATATCTGGTACCAGCACATCCACCAATCAAGCAATTTGTGCGATTTTCATCAGCAGGTGTCTTCTCATCAGGACAGCAACCATATCTGGTACCAGCACATCCACCAATCAAGCAATTTGTGCGATTTTCATCAGCAGGTGTCTTCTCATCAGGACAGCAACCATATCTTGTTCCCATACATCCCTTTACATCTAATTTTGGAAATAGAATGTAAGAGTAACTTTAACTATTGATACATTTGATTTAAAGTCTATGTTAAACTGTCATGTTTCTCGCTCCAACGCCAACATTGGGATGTGAGGCTGATTATTTGGCCATATAAACTACAGATTAAATATGTGAGGCTGATTATTTGGCCATATAAACTACAGATTAAATATGTGAGGATGATTATTTGGCCAGATAAACTACAGATTAAATATGAGACTACCTCAGTGGCGTAGGCAAGGGGGGTGGGTTACAACTTTTACTATCATAATATCACATAATACAAACTAAAGAATTGCATTAAATATAAGAGATTAGCTAAAGGGTATACAAACTAAAACAATTGCATTAAATAATAAATATGAGACTAATTATTGGCTATGCAAATTAAAAGTAATAACCTTCTTCATTAATGAATTAAAATGTTGAATTGCTTTTTACTTTCTCGTATACGAAGTATAGAGGAAGTATTGTAATCATGCAAAAAATCGTTTTACTCCTCCCTGAAAACATAGTTTTGCAATTTTGTCCGTATGTCTATGTGTGTGTGCGTGTGTTGTGTGAACACGATAACTTGACTAACGTTACATCTAGTTTGATGAAATTTCATATAGGCCTATAAGTATTATAAAAACGAGCCGACCCGCGGCATATCATAATCCGCTACTTAGTTGTTTTATTATCTACTTTTCAGTAATTCATAATTTGTGAATTCGACAGTACCAATGCTGCCACTGAAAATACTTGCTTTAAAACACTATCAGTAGGTCGTTAAGGACGATACTACCCCCATCCTCCTTTCCCCTAACCCCTACCCTACACTCCTCCCCGTGAAAGCCGCCTCCTCTTAGTTACCTCCCCTAAGTTTAAAATTGTTTCGAACAAAATTATCTGCCCCTAATAGCCGTCACTAAACCCGGCTCTACGATTGCAAATATTTAGCGTGAACCACACCTCACCAGATAATGTAGGGGTGGGGTGGTATGGAGCGCGCTTACAGCTTGGTGTTTTCTAGCGTCTCCAAAAAGAGAATTATATATATATATATATATATATATATATATATATATATATATATATATATATATATATATATATATATATATATATATTATATATATATATATATATATATATATATATATAAATTTGTCGTTCTTTATCAACTTTTCAGCTATTTCCGATAACCGCAAGTGGGACTTATTCTACTTCTAGTTTATCAAAAGCCTAGAACTTGGTTCATGTTCGAGATAGATAATTGAAATTTCACATGTACATAAAAGATCTAATTCTCCGCCTTCCATCTAATTTTGAGTAATTTCCGTTGAACGGAAGTAGTAATTTAAGCTATTTTACATTTCTCAAAAAAAAAAACGCACATTAATTTATAAAGTACTAATAATATTCCGGAAAATAGCCGGAAAAGTGTTTATTGTCGTGACAAGAACGCAATAAACAATGACGTTACAAGCAACATGTTTAAACTAAGGAAAGAACACAAAACTAATGGCGTCAATGTTCTTTCCGTAGTTTAACCAAATTGCTTGTGACGTCATTTTATATATTGCGTTCTTATCATGACAATAAGCACTTTTCCTGCTTCATAGTTAGAAATGTGTTTCTACATTCGAATATGCCTTTATTTTTATTTTCCTTCTTTAAATAAAATTTAGTTTATATATTTAAAACATCCACCGTATTATTTTCAACAAAAGTCCCGGTTTATTTTACTTGTTTTTGAATAAAAGCATTACAGTTTGATTTTTGACGGACTTTACATAAAATTCGATATATTTGATTTTTATAGGTTTTTTCTTTCTCGTATACAAGATTATAGAGTATTGTAATCGTACACAAATCACATAAAATTTTGAACGTTTTCACCGTTTTCCACCTAAGTAGGCCTTCTTCATCATGTAGGGCCTTAGAAGTTTACACGACTTATTTTAATCTGGCACAAATTCTAAGTCCAGATTTATCAAAATTTGTTTTCAGAAATCGGAAATAGCGTAAAGTAACCTTTTCGTTCACCGGAGAACATTACCATTTTTTTAATAGAGTATAGAGAATTATATCTTATTTTGAATCTTATACCTACGTTTAAAATTTTGTCCATGTAACTGAAATAATACTCAAGTTATCGATATTTTAGAACACAGAAATAGAGTAAAATTTCCGTTTATCAGAGGTCACTAAAAATAAATGTAGTCCAAGTATAAGTTTAAGATCTTGTACTTATATTTGAAATTTTGTCTCACTACCTGGAACAGATCTAGAGTTATATTCTTAGCATGGAAATAGAGTAAA